TATTCATCATTCTTGTTTGACCATATAATATGATTTATACGTTAAGCAAAATATAGTCATGTGAGATCTTGTTGGATTCGTCTCATAAAATACTTTCACAATATCAACTTTTTATAATTTTTACTCTTACACAATTATAGATATTTAGCATATAAAATTTACTGTGCTTTGGGATGCGTAATTTCATCCTTTTTGCAATATTAATAGAATGGAGGAAGTATGTGACAACATATGTAAAATTCTAAGCAAAGACCACTCTCAATGGCGAGCAAAAAAAATGCCCACCCACTATCTCTCTACCCACTTTCTCTCTCAACAAATCTGTTTTGCCCATGGACAAATTTTTTTCACAATTTCTCTCCCAATGGTGAGCAAAAAAAATGCTTGCCCACTACTCTCTCTCTCTTACTTTTTCAATACCCCACAATTACTTTCTCTCTCCTACACAACACTTCTTTATTTATTAATTTCATTTATATTTTAACAATATTACTCCAAATAAATAAAAACTAGTATAAATTTGTGTAACTTATTTTTTTTTTATTTGTGTCGTTTTTATCGTTAAAATAAAGAATATGGAGGATTTATGGTATTTCTGAAATTATACCAAAATATACCAAAATGCATGATTATTTAGAGAATTAAATTTTATGACCGTTGGTAATTTTAATTTTTTTTTTTTAATAAATATTTATTTCAGAATTTGCATTACAAAAAATATAACCATTGCAAATTGTGGGGCCCACCTGAGCACTATTCATCTTCAAAAATGCTCAAGTCTTGGGCATTTTCAGAAATGCTCATGAGCATATTTTGGCTTTTTCTCATTTGCTCACCATTGTAATGCATGAGCAAATTTTATGCCCACCCAAAATGCCCATGAGCAAATTTTTAGCACACCATTGGTAGTGCTCTTACAAAACACTATATTTGAAGGTTGACTAATGTGTAATATTTGTATGTATGTTATAGATTTTTTTTTCTTAATGTTTATTGTTCTTACCTTTAAACCTTCCCCCCTCTCCCCCCCCCCAAAAAAAAATAAAATATTTATCTACTTGTATCTCATGATAAAATCAGCCATATAATAATCAACTTCGTTAAAAGACTGTTAGGTTTCGGGAATACTCCTCGAATTGGAGTGTGTACCATTGATCAATATATATAAGGTTACAAGCCTAGTTAGCCCTAATCACGTTAGGAGATCTAGTTTGATAAGAATACAAAATATATACAAGTATATCCGATAACTACGAAAAATATTATCTAAATATAATATCCATCACACCCCCCCCCACCCCCCGGCAGTCGTAGAGGGAGGAGGTCGTATGCTAAGACTGGATCTGAAGTCTAAAAACAGCTCTCGAGATAGGCCCTTTGTTGAAGATGTCTGCAAATTGATATGTTGAAGGAACATTAAGAACCCGAACCTCACCCAAGGCGACCTTTTCTCGAACAAAATGGATGTTCATCTCCACATGTTTGGTGCGTTGGTGTTGAACTGGGTTGCTAGAAAGGTAGATAGCGCTGACATTATCATAATAGACAATAGTAGCCAGCCGGAGAGGATAATGTAGCTCCAATAAAAGATTACGAAGCCAACAAGCCTCATAAACTACGTTTGTGACGCCTCGATATTCTGCTTCTGCACTCGATTTAGATAAAGTGGGTTGACCCTTAGCTGACCAGGAAAGGTTGTCCCCGAGAAAGCAACAATAACCCGACGTTCCACGTCGGGTGTCGGTACAACCTCCCCAGTCAACGTCAGTATAAGTAATCAATCGAGTAGGAGCAGACGGATATAAATGTAAGTCATGATCAATGGTACCCTGAATATAACGCATTATGCGTTTCAAACTAAAGCATCAAAATGCGATTCCCTGAGATCGTGCATAAATAAACCCACCTGTTGCACCGCATAAACAATATTAGGACGAGTAAAGGTGAGATATTGTTGTGCACCTACAAGGCTGCGATACAAAGTAGGATCCCGAAATGGAGGTCCCGAATTTGCACTAAGTTTGGACTAAGTGTCAACTGGAGTGGCGACAGGTTTACAAGAGCTCATACCTACACGCTCTAAGATGTCCTGAGAATATTTCTGCTGAGATTATAGCATGTAAGAGGGTGTATTTATGCCACTTTTTAGCGATAGCTAAACTGAGTACTATGCGAATAGTTGCTGGTTTGACCACCGGACTAAGTCTCATCACAATCAACTCCAACCTCCTGCGACCTGCCATCACATACAAGACAAGATTTGTGCCTTTCAAGGTCACCATTAGACTTGTATTTATGCTTAAAGAGCCACATACAATTAATATTATTCACCCCCGTAGGTCCGGGTACCAAATCCTAAGTCCCCATTTTAATTAAAGCATTGTATTCATTAAACATCGCGGCATTCCAATTATGGTCTTGTAGAGCTTGTTTGTAATTTTTGGGTAATGGTGATTTATGCTCAATGGTCAAGTGGGCATATTTAGGATTTGGTTTAATAATGCCATGACGAGATCTCGTTTGCATTTGGGGTGAGGAAAGAAAGTAAGGTCGGGAAAGGATGGCAGATTGGCGAGCTGGAGGTGTGAAGTGTGCTGGGCTAGAAGCAGCCTGTGAAGGCTGGGCAGAAATGGGTGAGCTAGGCCGAGCAGTAGGCGAGCCCAACTGAGTGGCCGGATGTTGGGCTGTGGGAGACTCGACGCTCGCTGGCTCTCGGTCACTGGTTGGGCTGCTTGGTTTCTAGCGCCTAATGGTGAGGAATTTTAAGGGTGTGTTTAGGCTTGAGGTTGTTGGGTCCGGCCTTGAGGATTGTGAGGGTGAGTTTGGGCTTAAGGGGATGACTTGAGCTGCTGCATGAACATGTGAGTGAAGCGGTGATCTGCCATCTAAACACAAAAAATCATAATCCTTCAAAGTGTAACTCTCCAAGTTTTTATAGGGAAAACTAAACTCATTGAAGGTTACGTCTCTTGAAATAACAACTTTGCGAGTTGCGAGATCTAGACATTTTTAACCTCAATGATTGGAAGGGTACCCTAAAAAGACACAAGGAGTGTACCTAGGTGCAAGTTTATTAGGAGCAGTAGCTGATGAGAGATTTGGGAAACATAGCAACAAAAAACCCGTAAGTGATCATAAGATGGGTTTTTACGAAACAAAGCTTGAGCCGAGGTCATTTGCTTAAGAGATTTGGTTGGCAAAATATTGAGAAGATACGTGGTCGTCTCAAGAGCATGTGACCAATAGGACGGGGGTAAAGAAGCATGGAATAATAAGGTGCGTTTGACATTATTAATGGTTCGAATCATACGCTCGGCTTTTCCATTTTGAGAAGAAGTAGTGTGAGGACAAGAAAATCTGAACACCAATCCATTTTCAATGCAAAACTTTTTGAAGGGGTCATTGTCAAATTCGCGACCATGATCACTTTGAAAGGATTTAACAGGACGTTCAAACTGGGTCTGCACACATTGGCGGATGCAAGCTTGGTCCCGGTGGGTCACAGGACCCACCATTTAAAAAAAAATTTTGATTTTTTTTTTTTTGGGAATAAGTAATCTAATACAAGTAGTATACGATCATCAATAATCACTATAAAATTTGATTATTTGATCTAATTCAAATTGTTATTGAGTATCTATTAATTTGATAAATCGGCCGGATTGTTTAACCTACTTAATGGTTGTAATATGTACATTTTCAGTTCCTTTTACGTATTTTACGTTTTCTTTTATAAAAAACTATACATAATACTCCAACTATATGTATTCCTACTTTTCCATAAAAAAAAAATACTATTATTAATTTTATGTTTATCTATGTATCTAGGGATGGCAACGGGCCGGATCTGGACCGTATCTGTCTAGATCCATATCCATATCCGTTTTCAGACCATATCCAGATCCGCCGGATCCGGGTCCAAAAAGGATCCAAAGTGGATCCTTTTGCTTTTATATGAATTTCTTAATAAAAACAACAATTTTTATAAAACAAAATCCAATAATCCCAACATTCCCAAGAATCAAGCTTAGCAAAGTAGCTGAATCTAATAAATAGCAGCCACCAGCCAGCATTAGGATTGAAAGTTTGAAACACAGCAACACCAAAGGACAACAGCAGCACTAAAAAGATCACCAAAGCAACAAAAGCAGCTCTGTGAATAGTTAAAACTCTGCTTGTTTCTACTTGGGTGATAGCAATTAGTACAGACCATAAACATTGAGAGCCAAAGAGTAAATGAAATCCATAGAAAGTTAGAAAAGAGATATTAGGAATTATAAATTATTACAGCATAACAGATTATGAACCAAACAAATGTTTTCACAAAATTATCAAGCCACAAAGAGTTCCACGTCTTCAACATCATCTCCTAAGAGCATCTTGTAGTCTTGCACGGACTTGCACCAACTAAGCTAATAATCTAGTAATCTTCATCACTACTAATATCATCAACATCCTATAATATAAAAACAACCAAATAAAGAAAAGAATTAGAAATTAACAACGAATCATAATTAATGTTTACATATTAATATAGCTCTTTAATTATTACCTTATCAATGATATCAATGGCATTCAACTCTTCTATATCATTATCATCCTCACAATCTTCCGTAATAGTAGAGCATGAAAGTGATCCCACAAAATTCCCTTTATGATAAATAAAGAAAACTACATTAGATTAAAAATAATAGATAAAATCTATAATAAAAGGAAAGAAATATAACTAAGCAAAATTTTACCTTTCACATCATCAACTACCCAACTTTGCAAGCACATTAGAGCCTCCACGGTTTGGGAATGAAGTCGCGAACGATGAGCACTAACCACTCTTCCACCCATACTAAATGCACTTTCCGAAGCAACTGAAGAGGCGGGAATATCCTTGGAAATTTTTTTCAAGGTTGGATAATTTTGATCTCTACTCCACCACTCAAGAACATTGAAAACCTTATCCTCCGGCATAGTGTCACTCTCTAAGTATTGATCAATCTCACTCCTCAAAGGAGTCTCTTAGATATTGCAAAATCATCTTCTTCTTCACCACACTCGTAAAACCCTCTCATTAATGATGATTGTTCACTAACTACCTCATTCTTACTTTGAAACTCAGAAACAAGATCATCAAGGGTCTTTCTTATTCTTGCTATTTCACTATTAGCACCATCTCCATATAATTTTCCAAAATAATGGACCACACAATCCATTTTGTTTCTAGGATCTAAAATGGCAGCAATAGCCAAAATCCCATTAATATGTGACCAATATTTGTCAAATTTTTCAACCATACTCTTAGCCATTCTCCTAATAACCTCATCATTATCAATTTGCACCCAACGATCTAAAGCAAGTTTGATGCCACAAACAATTCGAAAAAGCAAATTAACAGTTGGTTGATTTCTAATAGAAAAAACCTTGGTAGCTTTGTAGAATATTTCTAACTTTTGACAAACAAGAGTAGTCATAGTCCAATCATCCTCACTTGGAACAGAAAACTTAAGCTTTTTATTCAAACGTTTTAACTTATTAAAAACTTCCTTGAAAGGTAAACTAGATTCAAGCATCAAGTATGTAGAGTTCCACCTAGTTTTACAATCAAGACCCACTCTTTTAGGTTTAGTCACATTCAAAAGACGACAAGCTTCCTCAAATTTTTTAATCCTTTTAGGAGTAGACATCCAAAATGCTATACACTCTCTTACTTTGACAATTGCATGATCAATCACTTCTAAACCATCTTTCACAATCAAGTTTAGAATATGAGCACTACATCTCATGTGCAAAAATTCTCCATCTAATACCAAACAACTACTTTCTAATTTCTCCAACAAGACATTGATCATAGAATCATTTGTGGTACAATTATCAAGGACAATAGAAGAAATTTTGTTTTCCAAAGAGAATTGAGACAAAGTATCCATTAAAACCTTAGCAATAACCCCTTTTGTATGTGGACATGGCACAAAACAAAACCTACACACAAAATAAAACACACCAACAATTGAACTATATGAAAGCGTATCATATAATCATACAACTTACATTTTAAAATAACCAAAAAGAATGAAATATAAGTATATAAACATTATATAATATATATTATCTATAAAATATTATATCAAAATTAATCTAACAATTACCTTAATGTTCGATTATGCAAAATCCAATGATGATCAATGAAATACGCGGTTACAACCATTGAACCACATACCCCTTCTTTTGGTTGGAGGCGGTCCACATATCGGTTGTTATAGCCACTCTACCCTCATTAGCCTCTAACAACTCCTTAAGAGAACTTCTGTCATTGTTGTACATTCTCATCACATCATTCCTCAATGTGTTCCTTGAAATAAACTTGAAATTATCATTTAAGCTTTTAACAAAGCTCCTAAAACCAATATGATCCACAATTGACAAAGGATACTCATGTATTACTACCATCTTAACCAACTCTCGCCTTGAAACATCTTGATCAAATGTCACTTTCTTTTTCTTTTCCTTAAGAGACAAAGAAGTAGTCCCGTCAACTTCGGTCTTAACTTTCAATTGTGATTGACCAGCCGCAAGCTTCAAATGTTTTCCCGAACATGACTTTAAAGCATGTTTCCGAAGGTGAGAAGTTCCATTATTTCCATTGTAAGAGAGTGCACTTCTACAATACTTGCATTGAGCCTTTTCTATACCATTGATTATAACAATATCAAAACAATCCCATACATCAGAAGTCTTTTTCTTACTTTTTGTGGAAGTACTAGAACTAACTTCTTTGCTAGTATGAGTAGTATCTTTCTTATCCACAAACCCCTCCCAATCCTCTTCATCATTTGGCTCATAACCCGCTAATGGTACATCATTAGTCTCATTGCACTCATTACTACGAATACTATCCATAACATTTGATTGTCCATCCATAATCTGAAAAATACAGTACAAATCGTCGGGAAATCGAACACTGAACAGTAAGAATGTAAGAGTAAGATTGAAAAGGTCAAGAGGACTTACGCTGTTCACGGAAAAATACAGTACAAATCGTCGGAATTTCGGCGCTGCTGAAGACTGGAGATCGTTGTCGGCTTGTCACTGTTGAAGGATGAAGAGATCGCCAGTGAAGAATGGAGAGACCATCGGTGGCGAGTCCTGGCGACGGCTAGGATTTGTAGTATTTGGGGACTTTTGGACTTTTGGAGGGAAATAGGAAATGGGAATACTGCCATACTGGAATGTCGTGTTTTAGTGTTTGGAGTTTTGGACTCTTTGGGCTTTGGAGTATTTCCGCTGACACAATTTGTTATACATGGCATTTTATATATATATTTTTTTTAAAAAAAAAGGGTAAACGGATTCAGATCCGGATCTCAGAGTGAGATCCGGATCCAGATCCGTTTTTCAGTAGTGGATCCGGATCCGGATCCGACGGGTCCAAATTTTCAGGATCCAAATCCATCAAAAACGAATACGGGTCCGCAGATCCTGGTCGGATCTGGATCCATTGCCATCTCTATATATATCTCATACTTTCCCTTGTCTTCATTTAATTAAGGTAATCATAAAAGTAATACTTAGTTACTTACGAAGTACTTCATTTATTAATTAAAAAATAAAATTATCTTCGCTTTAAATATTTCTTAGTCGTTATGAATAATATCAAATGTAAATAGTAATAAAAATAACAGAGGGAGTAATATTTATTACAGAGTATTTATATTTATTTTTTATTTTTTTAAACAATGCATTATTGATGATTGGTATGTTATCGGTGTACAATGGTGACCCACCTCTCACAAAATCTTGGATCCGCCACTGTCTGCACATATTGTCTAAAGTGTATAAAGCATTGGAAGACTTGAGATTTATAAGCAAGAAGGATGGCCCACATATAATGGGTAAAATCATCAAGAAGAATCAAATAATATTTATGACCATTAATGCTCCGAATAGAAGATGTCCACAAATCAGCATGAATAATGTCAAAAGCACAAGAAGTATTATTATTTGAATCATAAAACGGAAGTCTAACATGTTTTACTATCTGGCATAAATCAAAGACATTTGGTCAATCTCAAAGACATTTGGTCAATGTTATTCTTCTTGCTTTGTTGCTTGAGATCAAGTTACATTCATATTGTAGGTGCTATTCTCTTACCATAGTAATTAACTTCGTGGTAGGCATCTGGTCAAGGGACTTGTTATTCATCGCCCGCAAATCTCTACATAAAGCCCACATTTTATAATTTTTTGACAAATTTGCCCTTTTTATAATTTTAACCGAAGATAAATTTTTCGCACTAAAAAAATGTGGAGCAGCACCGGATCGCCGAGGATCACCGGAGAATCGCCGTCGTCATCGGAAAACGAGGTTCGTAACGCATCGTAAGGACGAAATGGTGGCTGGCGCCTAGCCAAAAGGTCATGCCGTGGTTGTGGCGCCTAGCCAGGACGCCGCCACCGTGGTAACGGCGCCTGGTGGAGAAGCCTCGACCATAGTAGTGGCGCGTGGCCAGGACGCCGCAGCCACGGCCAAGGCGCCTGGCCAGGCGCCACTAGGGGAATATATTTTTTTTTTATTTTTTTTTTTTTATTTTTTAATTTAATCCCCTTTTTTTTTTTTTTTTTGTTTGTTTTTGTTAATTTAATCTTAATGTAATTATATTTATACGTTATATGTTATTGTTACAGGATTATGGTGGAGACGGAAATGATTACAGTGGGATTTTTGTACATGATGGCCTGTTCGAAGATGCTCAACAAGCGATTGATTGGGCAAAACAGGTTGCAATTAGATCAGGCTTTTGTTTAGTAGTAGCAACTCATAAATCTCAACGGGATGGTAGAATGGATCGCATTTTGAGATGCGACCGTTATCGCAAAAGAGAAGAACGAGATTTCAGTAAAGCGATTCGGTTTGACTCAAAGCGGAAAGGTTGTGGGTGTCAGTTCCGAGTTAAGGTTCGACAACATCAAAGGCGTGACGGTTGGGAATTTCCATGTAGTTTTTGTTGATGTACACCTACCTTTTACTATGAGGCCTTGTATTGTCAATACTATGTCATTTCTATGTGTTCATTTTTAAAAGATAATGTTTCATTTTAAAAACTAACAACAATAATTTCAAATATTACAAACTAAAAAGATAATATTGAATTTTAAAAACTAAGAACAATAATTTCAAATATTACAAACTAAAAAGATAATGTCTAATTTCAAATATCAGTAATCCCTCTGTGACGCCCACTGCCACTGCTCAAGGGTCCGTTCCAGATCGTCAATAACAGCTCTGCCTGATGCACTCGTCATGCAGTCCCTTTCCTCAAAAAGTCGGTGTCCCAACTGCATAATCTTGCCCATCCACTACACAAAACAAAAAACATGAAACGACGTATTATACATATATATATTAAAATAAGAGAACAACAAATAAAAGATGAGACGTACCGCATAAGAGGCAGTGGCAGGTGGCACATCGTCATCATCTGCGTCGTCGATGTCTTTGATCAACCTCGGGTGCGAGTGCCGGATGTACCATTCCATGTAGTGCTGGTCACACATGGCAGTCACCCCACTTGGCGGCCGCTGCAGCTCCGCCGTCCATAGGCGGGCAACCATCGGAAACTGCTCCCACATGGATATCATGTTTGACGGCCATTGGACGACGTACTCCTTCGACGACGCAGATCGTACCGCCTTACTGGGCCATGCCGGTGGAGGTGGGACAACTTGGACAAATCCAAGCTGGCGAAGACAGCGCTGCGGCATGTACGCCTCTACGATCTCGCGATACTGAATCAGTCCAGTGTAGAGGGTCCTGGGTACCCTATTACTAGGGTTCTGGCCGAAAGGCATCCAGTTCACCTGCACATTATTTAAAATCAGTAACAGTCATAAAATAAAGCATCAGATTGTAAAAGTAGAAATAATTTAATCACTGTACCTCTAAGGGGGACATCCTGTCAAGCGATAACCGTATGGAGCGCAGGCGGTCAACGGACTTCTTCTCGACACGCGGACTCCACGCACAGGCACGTGGCTGGCCATCACCAATGGGAACCGGGTCGCGGTGTGGTCGAAACGCAGGAAAATACTCGTATATCCAGGTCTGTAACAACGTCAGACATCCAGTGATACCTGCTGCATCAGCCCGGCTCGAGAATCCTAACTGGCGATACAGATACGCCAGCGTAGCCGACCCCCAAGAAAACTGGCCTACTCTGTCGGGCTCACACGCGTCAACTATGTCGCGTGGCCTGAGCTTGTTCCCGCTCTTATCCGGAAACAAGGTACACCCGAGAAGAAGAAAAACATATGCAGCCAGCTGTGTGTCCTGCGTCCTACGTGCCGTAGGGTGCAAACATCGCTGCAAGACGGCTGCGATCTTAACGCCGCCGTGATCCCACACACCAAGTGCCGATGTGTACAGCGCAGCCCTATCCACCGCCAACAGCTCCGCTAGTAAATCTGCCTGATCCGCATCAGTGACGACAGATGCTCGGTTTCCCTCCACGGGAATCCCAAGGATGGCCTCGACGTCATGCAACATGATCGTCATCTCACCGAACGGAAGGTGGAACGAGTTCGTATCCGGCTGCCATCGCTCAACGAAAGCCGTGATCAGCGTCCAGTCAATCCTGTCGTGCATGGTGGCAGGAAGGTGACTCACTCTAGTGGCCCTCAATCGCCCGACCATCTCGCTCTCCTCCGGCCAAGCATCAGCCCAGCTACACAAAAACCTACAAGTCTTTTCCCGGGTTTGGCATTTCAAAATGCCTGTATCCAAAGCCCTCTCCTGGTCCTCCCAAATACGGGTAGCGATGTGTCCTAAAAAGCTAGGAATCACACTCCCGTCTATAGGTCCCCCGGCCACCTCACCCCTCACCATCCAAGAATCATTAACGGCCCTCGACCGTTTTCTGCTACCCGCAGACACAGTGGACGCAGATGATGTGCCAGATCTACTAACAAACCTACCATCTCGACCCTTACGCACATCTACCCTATGCGTCTCATACGTATCATCAAGCCTCTGACTGAATGGACCGTAATCATCATATGGTCCACTCTGATCGTCGACATCCTCATCTGCATCATCCTCGTCCTCGACCTCCTCCTCCTCGACCTCCTCCTCCTCCTCCTCCTCCTCATCATCATCATCATCTTGATCGTCCGCAGAACAGTGCACCCGTTCTCTGCGGGCCGAGGCCGAAATACCACGGGATCTAACGTGTCTGGGCCCCGAGCTCTCCATTGAGTAGATCGTACTCCTCACGACGTCAATACTCTTCCCCGCACCAGGTCTAAATTGCGATGCCTAACTCCAAGTAAATAACGAAACATAATAACGAAAACAAATTAAAAAAAGTCGAAAATAAACACAAAAGCAAATAAACAAGTCACGGAAATAAAATTATAAACATAAAAAATATAAATATATACAAGACAATATACATATAAACATAAGAAATATAAACATAAACATATACCAAAAACAAAAAATATAAACTACAAACAAAAAAAAAACAAACATAAACAAAAACAAAAACAAAAAATATTACCAAAAACAAAAAATATAAATACAAAAAAGGACGAAAATAAACACAAAAGCAAATAAACAAGTAACGGAAATAAAATTATAAACATAAAAAATTAAAACAAATAAAAAAACAAAATTTAAAAAAAAAAAGATAAAAAAAAAAAGGGAACATACAATTTAAAAAAAAGAAAAACAAATTTTTAAAAAAAAAAAAAAAAAATTCGAAAATAAAATTTAAAATTAAAAAAAAACAAAAAAAAATTTAAAAAAAAAAAAAAAGGAAGGACGCCTAGGCAAGACGCCCGTACGGTGGTGGCGGCGCCTAGCCCAGACGCCAATACCACGGCCGTGGCGCCTAGCCTCTGCGCCGCCGCCGTGGTAGTGGCGTTTGGGCTAGGCGCCGCCACCACCGTACGGGCGTCTTGCCTAGGCGCTTCCTCCGTGGTGGTGGCGTCTCGCCTTGGCGCCCCACTGTCGCCGGAGGTTTTTTTTTTTAAAAAAAAATTACAAAAATTAAAAAAATTACCTTCTGGCCGGCAAACCGCCTTCCGCCCACCGCCGGTGCCGCCACTTCCTTGCCGGGCCGCCTCGACATAGCTCTGGAAATAATTTAGAGAGAGAAAGTGGAAGTAGAGAGTAGAGAGAGAAATTGTGTGTTTTTTATTATGAGGGCAAAAGTGTCATTTCACTCTTATTTTGTGGGCTTTATGTAGGAATTTGCGGGCGATGTTTAACAGTTCACCTGGTCAAACCCATTGAACATGTGCTCTCTGATCAACAAATTCGATAATTTAAGCATTTGAAATATCTACTGACATACAAATTGAGTAGCAGACTATACGTTAATGCTGGTCATTTCATTAATGATAGTATCAAAATTATACTTGTAATAACTCTTCTTTATCATACGAAATACGTTTTCCAATGCATTAGGTTTTATGAATTCCTCTTGTGAGGAGGATTTTCTAATTCTTTCGTTTTCTTACCAGTATAAAGAATAATTAAAAATAAATAAATAAATAAATATATAATTAGGCCCAAAAGTTTGACAATGGCTTTATTAGGCCAGGACTATTGGTGTTAAGTTCTTAGCACGGGCTTCATCTGTCATAATCAAACCAATTGACCTTGGTAGTCTATGCTCTCCATACATTTCTTTATTCAATCTTCCCATTTTTTAAAAACTACTTCATTAATTGAAACTTCTTTGATATATCTAAAATATAAGTCAAAACTAAAAATACATATCAAATTGAATAAAAAGTTTTCTATTCTGAAAAATCACCCTCGATGTTTATATTCTGCATGAAGTATATTAGATATGAGAATTTGTGTATTGTCTTAACGTTTTTGCATCATGGTTTGATAATCTTTTACTAAATTAAACAAAAAATTGATAAAAAAATTCTTATAAATTCAATTAAACCTTGCATTATTTGGCACAAATGCACAATCAACGCTAAAACTCAAATCGCTTACAGTTGACATTCAACACTTCATTGGCTATAAATGCTACATTACACTTACTTAATAAACCAATAAACCCAAATTGAGTGAATTCATCACTCTGAGGCCCTACCTGGATTCCTTAAAATGATTAAGGGAGTAAAATCTAATGGGGGCAAAGACTAGGAGAGAATCGTTTATGGGGTAAAACTTCATTTTCCTAAAGTTTGGCATCAATACTGTAGTAAAGATTTCGTCAATTGCCAGCATTAACCTGAACGGACCATGGTAAGCACATAAAAAATGGAGTATAATAATTTTGGTGGAAGAAAGATGGTGGGAGTTGGAAGGTTGAAGACAGGTTGGTAAAGAGGAGAGAGAGAGAAATGGAAATCAGGCAGTAGATGTTGAGGGGGAAAACATTTCACTGGGTTGCCCCTAGGTAACTTTTACCCCCTTTTTTAGGGGAATATATTACTCCCTTGTAATTTTACTTTCCATCTAGGCAAGTAAAAGTGCCAGAATTTTTTTACTCCCTTAACCTTTCCTCCCTCTTTACTGCCAATCCAGGCAAGCTCTGAAGGTGATTCAACCATTGTTTACCTAATTACCATGCCCTAACATAGTCATTGTACAACAAGGGTTGTCATCTCTTATTGGATGTGAGTTAGTATGTGACTACTAAATAGCAACAGGATTGGTTGATTTCAAATAACAACTTACAATTTAGCTCAATTTACTACTCCGTAATCTATATTCTATACTATACAACACGATTTTTCATAGGTTTATTTTTATCGGGTTAAATATGGATAGCCCAATAGCAATATTTTTTTTTTTTGAAACAACCCAATAGCAAGATTTTTCTACAAATTTTTTCCTAGACTCTAGGGTAGCCAGCTTCTCCTACACCCCCATGCTACTACGTCATTTTATATTGAACCATTCTGCCATTTTTTTTTTCTTCATCTTTTTTCATTTTTGTTAACTTTCTATTCAAGCAACTATATAATGATTTTCTTAACCTAATTTCCATTTTATTTATCTCATATTTTACTTATTTCATTTTCTCTCTCCTGCATTTTTTATTTTCCCCCCAATTTTTCTCTCTCTTCTTCCATGGAAATTTCTAGCTCAATTGCGTTTGATCGTGACAGTGATTCTAGCTTAATTGCTTTTGATCGTGATTGTGATTCTATTTTTTCTGCTGGAGTTGGTTTAGTCGACTCGTTTTCGAAACAATGTGAGTAATTTTTTCCTCAATCATTCGATTTTGATTATGCTCTGTTTTTCGCGTGTAATAGTTCGATTTTGATTTTTGATTTCATAGTTTTGTTAATTGTATGAACTATAGTTTATATAATGCTCAATTATAATTTTTGATTTTATTGTTTAGCTAATTGTTATTTCTTATTGTATGAATTAAAATCAAAATTATGGTCGATTATAATATTTGATTTCATTTTTATTTATGATTATTTTAATTTATAGTTTGTGATGTATTGTTGTGATTTTATTGTTTTTCTTTGTAATGTTGTTATTCGATTGATGTTTTTTCCAGTTTTTTGCATTTTAATGATTGTCTATAGTTTTATAAAATTTGACATTCAATTAATGCTCATGTATGTTATATTATATGTACATTTACGTTAACATAGGTGTAATTACTGTAATTTACATTTATCTATGTAATCATAAATGTTCATTTATATGTTTTATTATCATTTTGATATATGTTCATTTATGTAATGATAAATGATCATTAACAGTTTACATGTGGTTATTGTACATTATTGCTATTATTTGTGTTCATTTGTTACATTTTAATATTGTAGTGGAAAAAAAGAATGCTATTTTATTTGAGGAAGCAGCTAGTTCTGAATTTTATGGGAAACAATTTCCTTCTGAAGATGTGGCTTATGAAATGTTTAATGAATATGCATTTAGAAAGGGCTTTGGAATTAGAATTGGAAAAAGTAAGAGGCGAAGAGATGATTCATTCTCTATGAAAAGATTTGTTTGTACAAATGAGGGTTTTAAAGATGATAAGTGCAGGAATAATAGGCTGTATGAGAGACTTAACATAAGGACTGGTTGCTTAGCTTTTGTGCAGTTTAGTATTGACCGTTCAGGTGTATATACATGTACAAGACATGAGATGGTTCATAATCATGAAATGATTCCTGTTGACAAGAGACATTTAATAAGGTCTCAAAGGGATATTTCTAAGGAACATATTAATTTCATTTCTACACTTAGATTGAGTGGAGTTAAAGTTTCTGATTCTTTGAGTGCTTTGAAGAAGGAGGTTGGAGGGTCTCCTAACCTTTGTTTTACAGCTCCTGATGCTTATAATGCTATTTCTGTTGAAAAGACAGCTAAACTTGGGGGAGGTGACATCAATCAACTAATCAAATTTTTTGCTAAGAGACAAATTGATGAAGCAGATTTCTATTATGATTTTGAACAAGATGAAAATGGTGCATTGGTTAATTTCTTTTGGAGAGATGGAAGGATGATGAGAGATTATCATTACTTTGGTGATTTGTTAGTTTTTGATACTACTTATAGGACTAACAAATATGGTATGATTTGTGCTCCATTTGTGGGTATGAATCATCATGCAAATATGTGATGTTTGGCATGGGATTTATACTTAATGAAAGAACAGAATCATTTGAGTGGTTATTTGATACTTTTCTAACTTCTATGGGAAGGAGAAGTCCTATTACTATTATGACTGATCAAGCTCAAGCAATTGCAGCTGGGATAAGAAATATTTTCCCCAAAGGTGTTCATCATAGATTATGTGTGTGGCATATTGAACAAAATTCTAAGAAACACATTGGGGCGTTGAGAGCTTTGGATGGTTTCACTGATTTATTTGGTTATTTACTGAAGTATTGTGAAACTCCACCAGAATTTGAGCATTATTGGAAAAGGTACTTCTGCTTTATACTTGTTTAGCTTCTTAAATAATTTTTACAGAAATGAACATTTAGTTTTTTTATAAATGTTTATTTATAATGATCATAACTGTTATGCTTAATGATCATGTTTCATTTACAGAATGTTGTTGAAATATGACTGTGCAAATGTTGATTGGTTGAATGATTTGTATAAAATCAAAGAGATGTGGTGTCCAGCTTTTTCAAAGAAATTTTGGTCAGGAGTGTGCTTTCATCTCAACGTAGTGAGACAACTAACAAATCAGTTTCTCAAAGGCTTAACAAGACACAAGGTCTATGTGATTTCTATCAAGTGTTTCTCGATGTGGTTCAAGAGTGGAGAAGCAAAGAAAAAGGGAGAGATTATAATACAATCAGAGGTAATCGTCATTTGGCTTTTGCATACATTGGGATTCTTGTTCATGCTAGATCATTGTATACTATTCAAGCTTATGTGCTTTTTGAGGAAGGGCTCATTAAGGGTACTGCTTGTGATCATAAGGATGCTGGTGTGAATTTTCCTGAATATTATTATCATTTGTGGAGACCTGGGAAATATATGATCAAGCACGAGGTTGTTTTTAATAAAGAAACACATGCAATATGTTGTACATGCATGTTGTTTAGTGAAATGGGTTTGCTTTGTTGTCATGCTCTTCGAATTTATCATATGAATTGTGTTCATAAGATTCCAGATGACTATATATGTAAGAGGTGGACTAAGGCTGCTATGTGTAGTCATGGCCTTGATGAACCTGCAATGAAAACCAATGTAGTATCTACAAGTGTTTGGAGGACACAAACACTAAGGAAATTTGTTAAGTTGGTAACAAGTTGTCAACAATGCTAGAGCAGAGGTTGAATGTTATTTCAATCTTTTAAAAGAAAAGATTGAGAGTGTTACTGGTACTATTGATTTTAATGAACCGGTTGAAGGTATTGAAATTGTTGATCATGAAGTTAAGAATCCGGCAAAATCAAGACCTATTGGAGAGAGGAATTATAGGCCTAAGAGTAATTTAGAGAAGGCTTATAACAAAGCCAGGGGTCAGTGGTTGAAGAAAAAGTCAGTATACACTCCTTATAAAAGATCTAAAGGTCAAGCAGTAGTTCGGGTAATAATGCACATTTATGTTTTTGTTATTGATCATTTATGTTCAAGAATTGAACATTTTTGTTTTGCCTTAGGAATTGGACGAGAATGGGTGTCCTATATCTTATGCTAATTCTTTGGTTGATCCTAATGAGTTAATTGTGATTGAAGATCCAAGTGCTCAGGTAAAAACTTATTTTTTTTTTATCTGTTTTTATCAAATTCTTTATAATATTAAACATTTTTACTTTTAATTTTTTTTCAAGGTTTGTAATAAAAAGACTGCCATTGTAGAAGATATCCCTTCAGATGATAGTGTTTCAAATGACTTTGAACAGGTATTATGTAAATGATTATGTATGTAATTGTAGTTGTTCATTTTAGTAGTTTAAGTTGTGATTATAATGTTTTTATAATTTTCATTTTATTATAGGAATATGGATATAGCTCTATGCAATCAAACGTTACTGTTGATCCAGACATATCTTCTATTGTTAAGGTGAAATATTAATCATCTACCTTTTAATTTTGTATAAGGTCATTATGAATTTTGAATTTGATCATTAATTATTTTAATTTTGATCATTAGGGTAAAACAGCTGCAATTGCTCATGATGTTGATAATTTTCCAATAAGTTCTCAATTGCCACCAAAGAAACCAAGAAATGTACAATTTCCCACAGTTGTGCATGCTCAAATCAATGCTCAAGCTCCTTCTAAAGTTTCTAGCATTGTTCAAAATCCTCCAAAAGCTCCAAGAAATGTTCAAGTTCGTTCTAGTGTTCCGAAGAAAGTTCAAGCTCCTTCTAATGTTCCAAGAAGTACTCAAGGCTGTTTTCGGAATGTTCAAGTTGATTCTAATATTTCAAGAAATGTGCATGATGTTCCTAATGTTCCAAGAAGTACTCAAGGAAATTCAAGGAATGTGCAAGTTTCTCCTAGTGTTTAAAGGAATGTTCTACTTTCTCCTAGTGTTTCAATGAATGTTCAAGGATCTCCTATTGTTTCAAGAAGTACTCAAGGAGGTTCTCCACAGATTTCAACCAAATATGATAGGTTATTAGCGTTTTTTGATATTAGTGTGGCTAAGAGATTGGCTACAAATGGTAAATAAGAGAGTAAATCAATATGCAATTATGTTTTGGTGTTTAACTATCAACATTTTTAGTTGTCTCAACTTTATAGAGATTCAAGTGCTTTAAGTTTTTTATATTTTGATTTATTAAGTAATTTGAATCTTTTTTTTTCAAACTATTCTTAAATGTTCTATAAATGATTATTTTTGCTTTTGGAAGTGATCATATACTATTTTAAATAGTAAGAACCATTATTAAATTGGAATAATTATATTAGATGATTTAAAACTAGCAATTATAATGTAACACTTTACTATTTGTAAATATTAAAAAGATAATAAATTTTGTCTTTACTTGAACAACAACAAAAACTTATGTCCATACAAATACTGAAAGCAAGTATGATCATATATATGTCTATATATGAACATATTGTATTAAGCTTGTGCAAATCTTCTTGTTGCTCTTCTATTGTTCTGTGACTGCCTGTTTCCTTCATTCAGCATTAGTTCAGCAGTGTATTGTACTCTGAGCTTTCTGATTTGGTTCACCTGTTCCAAGAAAATAATTTATTATAAACATGAACATTAATGGGATATAAATGATCATTATGTATTATAAAGTGATCATGAAGTATATTTTTTTGTTTTGTTGAAATTTACTTACATTGTTTGGTTTTAGGTCACAAACCCATTCTTCATTGGGATCAGCAGTGAAAGTTTCCATATGTTTCATAATGTAAACTCCACAGTTGGTGTAATGTTCGTTGCTCCTCCACTTCATTTTTTGCAAAACCACCTTATATTTCTCAATAGAATCTGCATCTTCATACCCCAACCCTTTCAAATATTCTGCATATCCTTTTAACTGCAACATATACAGGAAAAAAAAATTCAAAGGATCATATTAATATTGATCATTTTAATTTTCAATATTGATCATTTTGTATAAACAAATTGATCATTTATATATCTATTAAACAATATACTTACCACCAATTGGGGTTGGTTTTCTTACTTTGTTGCAATTGTTTGATGTTTTGGCAGTTTCCTGTTGTCAATTATATGCATTGTCTCATTGATATGATCAATGCATAGAAGATAGAAATGTGCATATATGGCCACTGGAAAAAAAATCTGTACATAGTACACAATATTATTATATATACACATTAATGTAAATGAACATATTATAATTCCATATTGTTCATTAATACCTGTTGATATCCAACTGCACTCTTGATTTTGTATAACCTCAATTCATTTGTTATTCTTTCTTTGAAGTATGCAATTCTAAGCTCCATTGATGATCCTTCAGGACACACTGTATTTGCATACATAATTTGCTGCAAATAATGCACAAGGATCATTTTAATATTCATAATGATCATCTAGTATAAGTGAATTGATCATTTTAGTACACCAATGTATACATGTGTAATTTCAATAAAGACTTACATGTGGAAATGTTGAAAAGTATAACTTGTTCTTTGACCTTTTTTGATTCAGAAGTACTGCCCATGAATCGATCACATTGTTAACTACTAATGTATCCCCTTCAAGAGTTTTCATCTCTTCCCTATTGATCGAATTCACTCCATCATAGTATAGTAGCTCACTGCAAAATATCAATTTTTTTAAATTTTATGAGTTTACAACAAACATAATGTTAAAGTTTTAATGAAGTAAGTGATGTATACCTTTGATCTTTTCCACTATAAGCATAGTCTGTTACAAGTTTGTTCATTGTGTCTTCATCTTTGAACAAATCCTTGTACTTGACCATGTATGGAGATCGGAAAGCAAGAGGAACATTTGGGATTTCCCTTTGTGGCCTAGTTAATGTGACCATATATTAATACAAATATGAATTTTTTTAATAATGAACAAATAATTTATACAAAGAACAAATAGTAATACCTTATCTCTTTTTCCTTTGCAATCTCAGTTTTTGCCTTCTCAGCTTTTCTTGATTTTTTTCTTTCTAAAGTCTTCTCTCTGTCACTGAATAAATATTGAATTATGAATGATCATTTAGTATATTGTTAATGAACATTATAAATCTATACACATGTAAAGACCATTTACCTTTGTCCTGTTGTGTTTTTGGAAATTTGAATCTTCTCTGTTTCAATTTCTTTTGAATCCTTTTTTGTCTCACTGAATATAAATATAGTATAAATGATTATTCAGTTTAATGTAAAAGAACATGTATATGTGGAATAATCATTTACCTTTCCTTCACATTTGAAGCATATATCTGTTTCTTCTTGTCTTCTCTGAAATATTAATCATGGTTAGTAATGAAGAGTAATTAATATAAAAAAAACATTATTCTCCTTTTTTGAACAATAAACACTTAAAATATTACTAAAACATTTAAATTAAAATACATAATTTACATATCTTAAATTGTGCATTCCTACCCTAAAGCAAAATATTCCCTTCTGATTTTATAATACATATCCATTACTAACTTCATAAACAAAAACTGTCCAAAATAATTACACTTTATAACCAAATTTATTCTACATGTCCATTCAAAATTATATATTTTCTAACAAGATAGGTCTTCCATGTTTACCCCATGCTTCCTCCTTTCTTGTTTGATTTATCAAGGATATCTTCCATACTTGAACATGCTGGAGATTTCAAGATTGTAGAAATATCTCCAGCAGCTTTCCTATTTTCAGTTGGTGTCTTGGGATCACCAACTTTTGAATAAGATGCTGCAAACAAAATACATGAAAAAAATTTAATATAACTAGAAATGAACATTATACTTAATAATTTGATCATTTATTTGTAATATGTGAACATTGTACCACTCTTTGAATTTCCTTCAACATTTTCTTCTAATGCTTCAGATTTTGAACCTTCACCTTTGTTTAATGCTTTTTGTATTAATTTGCATTCACACATATATAGACTTAGTATCATTAAAGAAGAATATCTTACAATCACAAATGTTCATTTAATACTATATAAGTGAACTTTTTACCTTTTTTTGAATTTCCTCCATCTTGTGGTTCTTCAGAATTTGAACCTCCAACTCTTTCTGTTGATTTAAAATATATGAAATTTTTAATGTAAATGAACATTTGTTATTCTGAATATATACTTTTTTGAATATTTAGACTAAACAAACTTATTATTTTATAAATGAACATTATACTTTTCATAATTGTACATAGATATTAAAGCTTTACCCTCTTCTGGCTTAGAAGAAACATTTGCATCAGTTGTTGTTGAAGCTGTGGCTGCAACATTAATCTGTGCTTCTGTGTTCAAATAAATTAAATTTTAATTCTTTAATTATATTATACTCTTTAAGTAAGGATATTCAAATTAATGACAATTTTTAATTAAGCATATTTACCAGTTGTTGGAGTTGGGGGAGTTAAGTTGCAACCCAAACTGAATGCCTTCCTTATATCATATTCCTTCTCATTTCCTATTTTCTTTTTTTCTGCTTCACTTGCCTCCATCAGTTCCTTCTCAATTTGAGCTATGGCATTCAAAAAATCCTCTGATCCAAATATTTCTTCATCTTGGCTGAGAATTGATGGTTCTCTTGCCATTTTTCCTAACACTTCATCTACCTTCTTGACCAACTGATTCCCAGGGAAGAGCTCTTTTGCCTTAACCAATTTGGTAGAAAGTCTTGCCAAAGATGCACCAACTTCTTGTACCATCGATGCAAATTCATTCATAAAGACCTGTCATTTATAGAACATATAAGAAAAATCATATAAGACATTATGTGTTTTGATATTGAACATTTCATAATTTATAAATGATCATTTTGTACCTTAGGATTGTCTGCAGGCTTTTCTTCTATTCTTGGAAGGACTTTTCCATATCCATAGTTCAAATCATTTTCTGTTTTTATCCTTTCAAGTGACATATCCCTTTTCCAACAAGAAATTATTGGAATTGTTCTTGGTTGTTTTTTGTTCAATCTTTGAACTCTGTCAAAGTAGAACAGCTGCACCAAAACCCATTACTATAAATGAACATATAATATAATACAAATGAACAATTAATATAAAAGATTAAAATCTTAGACGAAATCGATATTTAACATTTTGTTAATGAACATTCATTGTTACTAAAATGAACATTTTATAATTTACTATTGTGTGTTGTAAACTTACCATCAAAAATTGCAGTGGTCCATTGTAGAATCCTTTTCCTCCACTCTTTCTCCATGTCACATGGCAACTGATGAGAGAGTCAAACACGTACTGACACCAATTCAAGTTTTTTATTTTTTCTTTGTCCATCATAGAAAACAGAAACTTGAAATGGCATTGGTTGTTTGAAATACACTTCATCAAACAATTCACAGCAACTACCAAAAAGTTGGTGAGAAAATCTTCTTCTGTTGGCCTTTGGTTTTTGAATTTATCACTTGTATATTGAGCAATAATTTGGTTTACAGATGGTGTTTTGCCTTGCCATTTTGACCTCCAATTTTTTATAAATACACCAAAATCTTCACTTGCTCTGTCTGATTTGGCTTCAACAATGGGAATGTCTCCCATTGGCAAACCATATACAATTCTCACATCCTCCACCTCAATTTCAATTTTCTCACCTTTAGGCAGCTCAAAACTACAACTACTGACTTCAAAGCTATCTAAAACCCAATGGCTGAATTGTTTGTCAAGCTGAGGAAGTTCTATATCCAACAACGGCCCCAGTCCTATTTCATGCACTAATTTCTTCTGTGTATCACTCATTTTCTTAACCCAATGCATGAATTTGACATGGCCTCCTCTTGTCGAACTTCCAACTTCCTCTTCATTCTTTTCTTCCTCCTCTTCTTTTTTTTAGCCACTGAAAATTCAGTTTTCCTCTTCACAATCTTTTTTATTGGTTCCCTCTCATACAGAACCATTCTTTTTTCTTCAGCTTTTGGTTTTTTCAATGTTGTTTTCTTTTCTTGAACTACTTTCACCTCCTCACTTTCTTCATCTTCTTCTTTTTCAGCATCAAAAGCTGGATCCTCACTGTCTGATCCACTATCAGTATTACTTTTATCATCTTCTTCATTTTCCTCCTTTGATTGTTCTTCAATGATTTTTGTTTTCTTCAAAGGGCCTTTAGCTGATGCAGAAGGCCTCTTCTGGCCACCTAAACATTTGATCAATTATAATATGTAAAATGAACATATATATATGAAAGTGTAAATTGCTAGTTTGTATTTGAACATTTAACTTTATTAATATGTACATTACCTTTTTGTTCTACTTTTTTAAGAATTTTCTTTTCTGCAGGAGCATAACTTGTTGCAGGGACTTCTTCTTGTTCTTCATTCTCTGATGGTTCATCATAAGGCACTTGATCTATGACTTTTCTTTTTTTTTTGCAGGACTTTTGGCTGATGCAGCAGGTCTTTTCTGACCACCTAATTATTTGATCAATTACATTAAGTAAAATAAACATTTTAAAAGTGTAAGATTGTAATTGAACATTTATTGTTTTAGATATGTTCTTTTACCTTTTTGTCCTGCTTTCCCAATAACTGCAGCCCTTGTACGCCCTGTTTTCTCAACAGGTTTCTCTGCAACTGCAGTTGTAGCCCTTGGACGCCCAGGTTTTTTAGGTGTTGTTGCTGCTGGTAGGTTTTCAGCAATTGCTGCAGCAGCTGTTGCTATAGCTGATATGCCAGGCAACTTAACATCTGCAAATAAACATTGTTATATAAATATTAATATAGTTGTAATATTTTATTTAATATGATCATTGTTATATTAGAAATTGTACATTTTATTTACCTCGTGATTTACTTCTTGTTCTTCTTGATGGTGATTGTTCATATTCCTGTTTTTTCTGATTTTCTTCCAATTCTTTTTTCTTTTGATTTTTCCTTGCAACCATTTTCCTTCTTGGTTGCTTTGAATTTTGTGAAGATTCTTCACTCTTTTGAGACAAATTTAACTCTTCAACAGGTTTTATACCTCTCAATATTCTTGTCAACTCCTCATCCCTTTGCAATTCTTCTTCTGTTTCATCCTCAATCTCAATTTCTTCACCACCTATACATTTAGATCATTTACAAATTGGTAAATGAACATTTTCAGTATAAGTGTTATTGATTAAAAAAATTTAATATTTAATTTAACAATTATGTACATTACCTAATAGGATTTTTTTAATTTCAGCAGGGGCCTTTTGTTGTGCATTTGCAGAACTTGCTGCATGGGATTTTTCTGCAGCAGAGGACTTTTCAGTAGTTGTAGCTGGGGCCATTTCAGCAGTAGTGGCTTTTCCAGCAGTATCAACAGTTGTAGCAGGGGCCTTTTTAGCAGCAATGACCTTGCTAACAGGAGCAGTTTTCCAGTTTTTTGTCAGTTTTTTTAGTATTCCTTGAGTTGACACTTTTAATTTTTTCCTGGCAACAGATAATTTATGATCAATAATATTGTAAATGTGGAATAGAAACATTTAATAAGTTATATATGTTCATACTTTTGCATTATGTATGAATGTGTTTCTTCAACTGCTGCTGGAGGCTCATCCTCTTTTGGAGGCTCTTCCTCTGCTGGAGGCTCATCCTCTGCTATAGCCTTCACTTGTTGTGTAGGCTGATCCTTTGCTGTAGCCTCTTTTGGAGGCTCATCTTCAGTTGATTGATTCTGAAAATTAAAAATTGAAAATGATTAAAAATGTTTATCAACTAATATAAAAATGAACATTAGTTGATTTCTGAAAATACCCTGCTGCATCCTTTTTTGGTTGTAGTTGTTCAACCTCTCTTGTGTCTTTCTTAGGTGATTGATTTCTGAAAATCAATTAATTTCAAATAATTAAAAATGTTTATTAAGTAATATGAAAATGAACATTATGGGAATCAAATACCCTGTATTCACTAATTCTGATCCAGCCTTTTCTTGTTGTAGGTGATCAGTTTTTGCTTCCTCTTCAGTTGTTTTTTTTCTTCTGAGAATGCAAATCATTAGATTATGTATGACAACTAAGAAATAAATGAACATTAAACACATTGAGGTAGAATATACCCTTGATTTGTTGATGCATCATCTATTTTTGAAGTTTCCTTCTCTTGTTCACTGAAATTTTTCGAATATTAATACATAAAAGTATGATTATGTAACTGTATAAAAATTAATTATTGAATTTTTATTAAGTATTTATACCTTATTGATTGATTTTTCTCTGGCCTTGATCTTGACATTATAAATTTCACTTTCAACTTTTTTGGTTCACTAAAATTTTACAAATTATTTCAGTTATGAGATTAAGTATTGAAGTAAATGATTGTACATTAAATATTACATATATGAATATTTGTAAGTATATCAACTTACTTGGGATGTAGGTTATCTCCTAATAAATAGGGTTCCCACTTTTTTATAACTTCATTTCTATCCAATTTGTTGTCTATTTCAGAACATTCTTTTCTCTCATGAATTATAGGATAAGGATTGAACATTCCATTGTCAAATTGCATCAAGTGTATCACTTTAAATGGTACATCACTACAATGTAAATTAATATTGTAAATCATAAAAATTGACATGATGTTTCTATGTTAGACAAATGTACAGAATAGTTCATATAAATGATCAATATAGTTGTAGCAATGAACATTTGTATACACATATATGGATATATATAACATAATATGAATTTTGACAATATAGTGTTTTGTAAATGTTCATTTTACTACACAGATGAATAAAGTATATGTTTTCTATTTGTACAAAATGGAATTTAGAAATGAACAATTAATATGTCAGTAAATGTATACACATAAATTTAGATGAACAATTTAGAAACAAACATAATTGCATGCTGTACACATAATATACAAATTTGAACATATGTATACATATATATGCACACATATATGCACACAATCCAATTTGAACATATACTGTTTTGTATTTGTTCATTATATTTCACAATACTATACTTTATATTTTTTTTGGTTGATCATTTAATCAAAATTATGCATACATTTCAATATTAACAGTAACTTGTTTAAATTTTTATTATCGTCTCAGAAATAGAGGAAAATTATGTTTATTTTGAAATTAAACAGTAACTTGTTTAAATATGAGCAAATTTAAATAAATTTATGCTTATAATTCCAAAAAAAATAGTAATACTTACTTTGATTGTTCTGGAACTCCAGTATTTTCAATTTTTTTCCTGAAGCATCATCAAAAAGAAAAAATACCAAAAAATTAGGGTTTTGTTTCGCAATTTTCAATTAATTTTACACTAAACATGTAAAACATACTTACTCATTAGATTTTTGGTTTGTTGTTGTTGAAATTTGTCGAGATTGTGCAATTTCGTCTCTTATGTCGGACATTTTAGACAATTTTACTTGCTAATTGCATGTACGAAAATGGAGTAGAGAGAGAAAATGGAGGTTGAGTGATAAATTGGAGAAAGAGCATGAGAAAGAAAAATGTGATTATTTGAAAAGTTTTTTTTTTTTAATTATATATATATATGGGTGGGGCAGTGGGAAGTTACTGACAGTTTTAGAGGGAAGTTACTGAAATGTGTGGGGGTAGTGGTACGGCGTCGTTTAGGGGGGTGTAGGGATAAACATAAACAATTAAGATTTTTCATATAGGGTAAATATCAGTAAAATTGAAAATTTTACCCTACACCCTAGTGTAGGGTGTGTTCCCTACACCCCCCCTATGCTACGTCGTTTTGTAGCTGGTATTGAGTTCTCATGTGCAGCTTCTTTCCTTTTGCGATTCTTTCCTTTTTTTTTTTTTTTTTTTTCCTTTTTTTCTTTTTTTCTTTTCTTCCTCTTTTTTCCTTTTTCCTTTGATTCTTATTATTCAATTTATGTATATATATGATTTTAAACCCTATTTTTTCTCTCTCTTCAATTGATCAACCAACCTCCATTTTTGATCTACATTTTTCTCTCGCTAATTCATCTTCTTCATTTGATTTTTTGAACGAATTCGTTAATTGTTACCGATCATCAATGGCGAATTCTGCATCTGGAGATTGCGTTGATTTTGATCGCGATTGCGAGCGTGTGTTTCCTTCTGGACTTCGTTTCGTTGATTCGTTTGTGCAACAATGTGAGTAATTGTGATCATAATTTTTCAATTTTTAATTATCCCTAATTTGTTCTGTTATAATGCTCTGTTAATTTGAACTTAATTGATGTATTATTATTCACTTTCGATTTTTGAATTTACTACTTTGATTACATTATGATGAACGTTTTTGGATTGTTGTACTTTGTATGAACATTTTGTTGCTTCATTTGTTGTTTCATTTGTTGTTTTCTCTGTGTTTTAGAATTGTGTGTTTTTGTCGTATATTTTGTAGATTATACTTTCAATTAATCGTTTATGTTTTCTTATTCATTGTTACTAATGTGTTTATGTTCAGTCTTAAAGTCATTTTTGATCATTTATTTTTACATTTTTATATCGATATTATGTGTAGTGGTAAATAATGAAAATATTGTTCAAAATATTATGTGCTGAAATTCTTTTTGCAATTGATCATGTGCTGTTTTGATATTGAACATTTTACTTATTTGTTATTGTTCATTCATGAAACTCTTTATGATCATTTATAATTGTATATTGTGCAGTGGAAAAAAATGATGATATTATGTATTTAGAAGCAGAACAGTCTGAATTAAAGGATAAAGAATTTAAATCTGAAGATGAAGCTTTCGAAGCGTATAATGAATATGCTTTTAGGAAAGGTTTTGGAATTCGAATTGGGAAGAGTAAGAGAAGAAGAGATGATTCTTTTTTGATGAAAAGATTTGTTTGTTGTAATGAGGGATTCAAAGATAATAAGTGTAAGAATAAAAGGATTTATGAGAAGTTGGATCATCGAACTGGTTGTTTAGCTTTTGTGCAGTTTCATATTGATCATTTAGGGGTCTATACATGTACAAGACATGAAATGGTTCATAATCATGCTATGATTCCTCCTGAAAAAAGGCATTTGATAAGGTCTCAAAGAGATGTGAATAAAGAGCAGCTTCTTTTCATTTCAACAATGAAATTGAGTGGAGTCAAAGTTACTGATTCTTTGAGGGTTCTAAAGAAGGAGGTTGGGGGATCTCCTAATCTTTGTTTTACTGCTTCTGATGCTTATAATGCATTGTCATCTGAAAAAGCTGCCCAAATTGAAGGATGTGATGGTAACCAATTGATTAAATATTTTGCCAAGAGACATGTGGATGAGACAGATTTTTATTATGATTTTGAACAAGATGATAGTGGTGCTTTAGTTAGTTTTTTTTGGCGTGATGGTAGGATGATGAGAGATTATCATTACTTTGGAGATTTGTTGGTTTTTGATACAACTTATAGAACTAATAAATATGGAATGATATGTGCTCCATTTGTTGGGATGAACCATCATGGTAACAATGTCATGTTTGGTATGGGTTTTATTCTTAATGAGCGCACCGAGTCTTTTGATTGGTTGTTTGATACATTTTTGCACTCAATGGGGAGGAAAAGTCCCATTACAATTATGACTGATCAAGCACAAGCGATTGCAGCGGGTATAAGAAACATTTTTCCTTCAACTGTTCATCATCGTTTATGTGTATGGCATCTTGAACAAAATTCTAAGAAACACATTGGAGCATTGAGAGCTTTGGAAGGCTTTACAGATTTGTTTGGATATCTTTTGAAGTATTGTGAAACTCCTGCTGAATTTGAATATTTCTGGAAAAGGTAAATTATTGTTTTTTATATTTATTTTTTATTTTTATTATGTGATATATTTGATTATTATGTGATATATATATGAACATTTAGTGTTTTACATATGATCATACAATTTACTTTGTTATGTATGTTATCATAATATTATTAGTGTCCATATTGTTTATGATCATTATTCTTTACACAAATGTACATATTTTAATTTATATTTTGTTCATTTTTAAATTAATATATGATCATTTCTGTTATACAGGATGTGTGATAAATACAAATGTGAAAATGATGATTGGTTATGTGATTTGTATAAAATAAAGGAAATGTGGTGTCCTGCTTATTCTAAGAAGTATTGGTCTGGTGGTATATTGTCTTCTCAACGTAGTGAAACTACTAATAAGTCAGTTTCACAACGTCTTAATAAGACTCAAGGTTTATGTGATTTTTATCATGTTTTTCTTGATGTCATTTCTGAGTGGAGAAGTAAGGAAGGTGCAAGAGATTACAATACTCTGAGGGGTAATAGGCACCTAGCTTTTGCTAATATTGGTATATTAGTTCATGCAAGATCATTGTACACTATTCAAGCTTATGTTCTTTTTGAAGAGGAGTTCATTAGGGGGACAGCTTATGATCATGTTGATAATGGTTTGCGTTTTCCAGAATATTCATATCTTCTTTGGAGGCCTGGGAAGGATATAATTAAGCATGAAGTTGTTTTTAATAAGGAAACACATGCAATTTGTTGCACATGCATGTACTTTAGTGAGACTGGTTTACTTTGTTCTCATTCTCTTCGAGTATATCATTTGCATTGTGTGCGTAATATTCCACAAGAGTATATAATGAAACGATGGACAAAGGCTGCCATGTGTAGTCATGGTATTGAAGAACCTACTTTGAGGACAAATGTTGTGGCTACTAGTGTTTGGAGGTCACAAACAATCAGAAAGTTTGTTAAGTTGATAACAAGTTGTCAGAATTCTTTGAATGCAAGGGCAGAGGTTGAGTGTTATTTCAATCTGTTAAAAGAAAAGGTTGAGAGTGTATCAGGTGTAATTGACTTTAGTGAACCTGTTAAAGAGGTTGAAATTGTTGATCTTGAGATCAAGAATCCTCCAAAAGCTAGGCCTAAAGGTGAGAGGAATGTAAGGCCTAAGAGTACCTTGGAGAAGCAGTGTAACAAGGCAAAGGGTAATTTCAAGAGGAAAAAGTCTCTGTACACTCCTTACAAAAGGGGTATAGGGCAAGCAGTTGTACAGGTATATGATCATTTCATATTTTCAAATTGATCATTTCAGTTTTCGTAAATGATCATTTATGTTTTTTTTTTTTAAATAGGAACTTGATGAGAACGGTTGTGCTGTTACTTATGCTAATTCTATTAGTGATCCCATTGAATTGATTGTTTTGAGCAATAAACGGGCTCAGGTAAATTCAAATGTGCCAAAAAAAAACATTTTATTTATATTTTATTAATATTGATTTTTATAATTTAAAAATATAGGTCGGCTTAAAATCAGCTGTTGTAGAAGAAATTCCTTCTAGTTCTAAGGAATCAAATCATAGTATTTCCAATGATTTTGATCAGGTATATGAACATTTATGATCTATATTATAATTTTTTTTTATTTAATTTTTTATTTTTTATATTTTTTTTTGGTTTTTTTGTAGGCTACTGGTGAAAGCTCTCTTTCATCTATCATATCTATTGATGTTGATATTTCATCTATTGCTAAGGTTTTTTTTTTCCATATTTGTTTGTATAAGTGTTTGTAACTGATCATATACTGGTTTATTAATGATCAATTTAATTTTTTTAAAGGCGAAGGATTTAAATCTTGAAGGTGTTTCTGCTGTTCAACCTTGTTCTAATTTTGGTGCAAATGAAGGTGCTTCTGGTGTTAAAACTTACTCTCAAATTAATCCAAGAGTTCCAATTCATACTAGTGCGTCAACAAAATCTCCTGTTGTTATTCAACCTACTGTTCCCAGGAATGTTCAAAATCAAACTCAGAATTGTTCAAACACCAATCCAGAAATGATCATATCCAACTCCAGGAATGTTCAATCAACAAATGTTCAAGTTATTTCTCCTACGGTTCAAATAAATGATCAAGGATTTCCTGTTCAGAATGTTCAAGTTACTCCTCCCACAGTTCAAAGAAATGATCAAGGTGCTCGTGTTCCAATTCTTCAATCAAGAAATGTTCAATTAGGTTCTAAAAAGATTTCTTCTAAATATGATAGGTTGTTAGCCTTTTTTGATACAAGTGTAGCTAAACGTTTGGCTAATAAAGATAAATAATTAGTATTCCAGAACTTTATAAACATTAGACTTTTTTGTAATGTTGATTTAATTACTATTTTGTAATTTTGAATTTTCGATCTATTATATAAAAAACTTTCATTCAAAGATTAAAATGAAATATCAATTACAATAATATTAAAATAAAATCCATAAGTCTACTTCTAAAAAAAAAAAATAGTCATATATAAGAAATGAACATATACATAGTTGTAAATGAACATTTGAAACTACAAAGTTGCAAATTTTCTAGCTTTCCTTCTATTTGCTCTTGATTCAGTGTTTTCTTCAAATAACATCAGTTCTGCTGTGTATTGGAGCCTTAGATTTCTAATTTGTTCCACCTGTTGAACAAAATGAATTGTCAAATTTTAATTAAACAATCTTTACTGTTTCATAAATGAATATTATATCTTAAATAATTGATCATTTATAACTCTTACATTGTTTGGTTTTAAATCACAAATCCAGCTCTCATTAGGATCAGCAGTGAAGGTTTCCATATGCTTCATAATGTAAACTCCACAGTTTGTATAGTCATTGTTGCTACGCCATTTCATCTTTTCCAAAACAACTGTGTAGTCTTCAATTCTTTTTGCATCTTGATATCCAAGGTGTTTCATGTACTCTGCCAATCCTTTTAACTGATAGAAAAAAGAGTAAAAATTGTTTAGAAGTTTGTATTGTGATGAAGACATGAACAATTAATAAAATATAATTGATCATGTAGTCAACTATAAATGAACATATTATCTCACCATCATTTTTGGTTGTTCTTCATATTTTGCTTGGACTGATACCTTTTTTGGTAGTTTTCTATTGTCAATTATATGAATTTTGTCTTCTATATGATTGACGCACAACAGAAAAAAATGTTGAGAAGTTGATACTGGGAAGAAGACCTGAACAAATTATATAATGTTATTGGACAATATATTGAAGGTAATTGAACATTTGTATTAAACAAGAATTAATACCTGTTTATATCCAACAATGCTGTCAATTTTATTCAACTTCAGTTCATTGTCAATTCTTTCTATGAAGGCATTAATTCTTGTCTTCATTGATGATCCTTCTTGACAAACTTTATTTGTGCACATAATGTGTTGTTGAAATACAAACAAACATATAGAAGTTAAATGAATTTTTAGCAATTATTTATCATAGGAAAATAGAATCAATAATATAAAAAAAGAAGAAAGACTAACATGAAGCACTGTTGAGAAATAAATCTTGTTTCTCGGCTTTTTATGATTAAGAAACCTTGCCCATCCATCTATGACACAATTTGTCACTTCAACATCATCTCCAAGAGTTTTCATTTCATTTCTATTGATGAGATTCAAGCCATCATAGTATAAGAGTGCACTGCATTATGAACATTTAATAATATGAATGTGAACATATTTTTATAAAAGATATTAAACCTTAAGTTTAATTAGTGTAAGTAATTACCTTTCATCTTTTCCACCAAGAGCAAAGTCTACTGCAATTTGGTTCATGGCTTTCTCATCTTTAAACAGATCCTTGTACTTGACCAAGTAAGGAGATCGGAAAGCAGGAGGAAGTGTTTTCTTTTCGCGTTTTGGTCTTGTTGTTCAATATAAAATATTGTTAAATTAAGAAAATTATGAGGAACATAAATGAACATTTGAGTGTATATAAATAAATTTGAAATTATACCTTTCAACCTTTTCCTTTTCAGTTTTTTTCTTCTTTTCTGCAATTGACTTTTTCTTATCATCATTCCTGGTCATATTACATAACACAAATGTACATTTAGGTATATGAAAATGTTCATTATTATTTTTGAACATTTACTTAATATAAATAATGTACCTTTTTGTGACTTTTGAGGATGAAGCAACAATCTTCTTGTTTTCACTGAAAAGTGAAACAATGTCAGTACATATTAATAAAATAAAAGCTTCTTATGTAACACCCTGAATCATTTTCAATTCATAAAATGAAAGATATTGATTTAACATAAACCTATTGATTTAACATAAACCACACATTCATATTACATATTCAACAAAATAATGTTCACACATACAATAGTTTGAGAAACACCAGTTTCAAGTTACAACACGATAGTAACATAAGTTAAATTGTTCCATCTAGATATTTTATCCTACACCATTACATAACCCTAATAGTAAGACATGTCTTCAGGATTTTACCCCTCCACTTTTTCATCATTTTTTGTTTTTTCAAAAACATCTTCCTTGTTTTGTTTTCCACCTCCAACTGTGTTTTTTGGATCATCACTTTTTTCACCACCATCTGACCTAGGGTCAGCATCAACCACTGAACCAGATCCTGCATCTAAGAAAAAATTTAATTAGATATAATATAATTTCTTTGTAAATGAACATTTGAGTATTTATAATTGAACATTATACCTGTTCTAGGCAATCCTTCATTATCTGACCTAGTGTCAGCATCAAGTTTTGAACCAGTTGCTGCGTCTAACAAAATAATACAATTAATAATGAATATTTCTTGTTTGTAAATGAACATTTTACACTTTTTAATTGAACATTATACCAGTTCTAGAAAATTCTTCAATTCTTTGTTCTGAAGCTGCTGAAGTTTTACCCACATCCTTTTCTCCAGCTGTATTATAAATCATCATTTTGGAGATACACTAAGTTAATAGTATTTACACATAATAATTAGAAATGAACATTTCTACTTAAGTTTATGTACATTATTATTAAATATATGAACATATTACCATTTGTTGAAATTATTGGTTGTTCAATTATATCACCAAGTGTTGAAAAGGTGGGCCCTGTTTCTGTTTAGGACAATTTAGACCACAAATTTAGAATTTTTCATATAAAAATTAGGATATATAGTCTCTTTTAGTTAGAATTTACCAATGGCTGGAGAAGGTGGAGTCAACCCCAAGCTGAAAGCTTTTCTGATGTCATATTCTTGTTCTTTTTCCTTTCCCTTTTTGGTTAATTTCTTCCCAGTCATTTGCTTCTCAGTTGTTTGCTTTTCAGACCCTTGCAACAGATTCTTCTCAGCTTGTGCAAGTGCATTTAGGAAATCCTCACTGCCAAAGAATTCTTCATCTTGGCTTAGAATTGATGGTTCCCTAGCTACCACCTTTCCTAAAACTTCATCAACTTTTTTCACCAAGTCATTTCCAGGGAAGATATCCTTTGCCTTCACCAATTTTGAAGAAAGCTTTGACAGGTTTGAACAAGTTGTTTTTACCAGGGAAACAAAATCATCCATAAAAACCTATATGAATGAATATTAAAAATTATGCAGTTGAACATTTCAGATTATACAAATGAACATTTATGTTAACAAAAGTGATCATTTTATAACCTTAGGACTTTCTTCAACTTCTGCAGCAATCCTTGGTAGAATTTTCCCTCTCCCAAATCCCAATTCTAATTCAATCTTCAACCTCTCAAGAACCATGTCTCTATTCCATGCAGATATGATAGGAATTGTTCTTGGAGGCCTTTTGTCTAACCTCTGAACTCTATCAAAATAGAACAACTACAAGAAAAAAGAAAACATGGAACAGAATATAAACAATAAAAAAAAGTGCATTTATTTAAATTTAAATGAACATCTTGTATCTAAGAATATACCATCAGAAATTGAAGAGGGCCTTTGTAGAACCCCTTGCCTTGCTGCTTTCTCCAATCAACATGACATTTGATAAGTGAGTCATATACAAACTGACACCAGTTCAAATTTTTTATGTTTTCTTTGTCCATCATAGAATAAAGAAATTTGAAATGGCATTGATTGTTTGATACACATTTCATCAAGCAGTTCACAGCCACTGCTAAAAAGTTAGTAATGAAATGTTCACTTGGTGGTCTGTTGTTGGTGAATTTATCATTTATGTATCCATTCACAATCTGCAAACAAAATGAACAAAACATTTATACTTTTGATCATTTAATGTATTTAAAATGAACATTTAAAACTGATCATACCTGACTCACTGATGGAGTTTTTCCTGACCATGATTTTCTCCATTTCTTCAGAAATTCTGCATACTCCTCACTAATTTTATCAGACTTTGGCTCAACAATTGGAATTTCTCCTGTAGGCAAGCCATAAACTACCCTAACATCCTCTACCTCAATTTCTATTTTTTCATTCTTTGGTAGTTCAAAATACTGGCTATTTTCTTCAAAACTTCCCAATAACCAGTTACAGAACTTTTGATCAAGTTGAGGTAAACTAATGTCAAGAAGTGATCCTAACCCTATATCAATAATTTGTTGTTTTTGGGTAGGTGTCATCTTTTTTATCCATGCAATGAACTTCACATGTCCTCCTCTCTTTGAAGATTTCTCTTCCTCAAATTCATCTTCCTGAATTTCCTCAACTTCATCAGTTTCTATTGCTTGAACCATTTCAGTTTTCATTTTCTTTTTTCTCCTACCTTCAATCTTTCCTTCATCATACAGTACCATCTTTTGCTCCTCCTTTTCAACCTTTGCCTTCACTGAATTCCCTTTCTTTGCCTGTTTCTTCCTTGGCTTTACTTCTTCCTCTTCCTCCTCTTCCTCCACCTCATAATCATCCTCACTGACAGGCTCTTCTTCTGCTCTATAAACTGACTCTTCACTATCATCATCACTGTCAGGATCTTGAGAGGGTTCATCTGATGGTACTTCTTGTATTTTTTTTCTCTTTCCAGCATTTCTCTTGGCAGGACTGACATCTGAAAATTAAATATATAATTTTGTTTAAGTATTGAAAATGTACAGTAAGCAAATGATAAAATGAACAAAATTGTTTTCTCAAATGATCATTCTATATATAGAAATTGAACATTTATAATATATCATTATATACCTGCTTTTCTTTTGCCAGCAACCTTAGAAGTTTTCTTCACTTCTAGAGTTTTCTTTTTCCCACCTATATATTGAAATTGAACATTAATGATATACCATCATAAATGATCATTCTATACATTAAGATTGAACATTTACCCTTTTTGCCTTGGTCTGGAGGATATTCAGCAGGAGCACCTGCCATTTTTTTTATTGGAGTAGGTGCTGGAGGTGGTGCATCAGCTTCCTTTTGAATAGGAAAATTCCTTGTAGACATTCTTCTCTTCTGTCCTATTTTTGCGGTTTCTTTAGCAGGCTCAACATCCTTCTTCAGGCTTCCCTTTTTAGATTCATCTAACAGAACATCTATTGTTTTTAAAAAAATTTATGTTAGTATATTTGAAAGTGTAATATTTATTGTGTAACAGAAAAGTATTATGATTACCTTGGCTCCTTGTAATTCTACCACTTGGCACAACAACAAGGCTTTTGTTTTTGTTTTTCCTTGCAACCATTTTGTATCTTGTTTTCATTTTGGTTGACTGATCACTTTTTTGTGATGATGGAGCTGTCTCCTCACTAAGTTTTGTGGAAACTTTATCATCATCTTGATCTAGAAGATAAGTTTCATCCTCAATTTGAACAAAATCAGGTGCAATTTGTGCTGCATATGAAATGATCAAATATAAAAGATTAAATAAACATTATTAAATTGGATGACAAAAGTTTACTATATACAATATAAATGAACATTTCAGGTAATGAATATGTACATTTTCCACTATTTACCTTTCGGATCTGTTGTCTTTGTAGACTCATCTTCCACTGTTTTCTCTTTAGGGATTTTCTCCTTTTCAGGCTCTTTTTTTCCCTCTTGTCCTTCTATGAAAATTTAATTAGTTAATATTTATATATTTTTTTAATCTTATTGAACATTCAATATTATGTAGATCCAATATGAACATTTTATGTAATAAAAATGTACATTTATAAATTTTTACCTTCTACATTTGTTGTCTTTGGAAAGACATCTTCCACAGTTTTGTCTTTAGGGCTTTTCTCTTTTTCAGTCCCTTTTTTTCCTTCTTGTACTTCTATTAAAATTTATTTAGTTAAAATTTAATTTTTTTAATCTTATTGAATATTTAATATTATGCTTTTCCAATATGAACATTTTTTGTAATAAAAATGTACATTTTAAAATTTTTACCTTTTTCCACAGTTTTCTCTTCTATTGGCCCTTTTTCTTTCTTTTTTGCTTCACCTTCAAAAGTAATAGTATTGTTAAAATTGATATTTATGACTATTAAACAAAAATATTCAATAAATATGATCATTTACCTTTCCTGATTTCCTTGCTTGCCTTTTCCATTCTTTTGAGATTTCTCATAATTCTGATTGTCGATTCTTTGTACTTTCTGTAAATGTATGATATTAACTTTGAAATATATTCATTAATTGATTAAATTAATTCAATTATTTAAATTTAAACATACTTTGGGTTTCTCTCTATGTCTAAATGTATTTCTTGCATCTTGTCCTTTAATGTTGTTATTCTTGAATCATCTTTGGGTTTTCTGATATTTCATTAAAAATATGTTTGAATTTACAATTTTGATTAGTAAATAAAAAAATGAACATATAACTTATATTACTATTGGCCATGAGCAAACTTTTTTGTACTGATTTTCAAATGAACATATAGTCTATCTAAATTGAACATTTAAGTTTTCTTACTTTTGGCCAAGACTATTCTTTACTGGATTGCTTTGCACTTTTGGTTGAACTTCTTCTTGCTTGCTGAAATCAATATTAAGAAATACTTTAAATAAAAAATGCACATAAATTGTACATAAAATATACTGTTATAAAAATGAACATTTGTTTATATAAAATTGATCATTAGTATACCTTTCATCCCTGCTCTCTTTGTCAGTTGTGTTATGTGTAGCAGACACACTCTTAGTTGTTGCATTAGTAGCAGGAATGTTCTCACTTTGTTCACTTAAAAAAAACAGAATTATTTTATATAATATGATATTAAAGTATGAACTAATTTATACAATGAAGAAGATAATTAGTTATTTTGTATAAAGCTTTTATACCTTATTGTTTGATTTGTCTCTGGTGGTCTTGATTTTGACATAACAAATTTCACTCGAACCTTTTTTTTTCACTAAAATTTTAAGAATTACCTAATAAGTTTGGTATATATATACAATGTACAATAATTGAATGTAAAAACAATTATTTTATACATATAAACTTACTTGTTTAAAGTGTATCTTTCATAACTATTACCATATTCATTTTGTTGTATAACCTTCTTTAGAGTTAATGGTTCAGATTTCCCATCTCTAAATTGAAGCAAGTGTATCACTCTAAATGGCACATCACTACATTATAAATTAATTACATGACATTAGTTTGAATGCATATCACTGAAATGATTATTATCATATTTATATATGTGCATGATGATTTAATGAAATGTATATTTGTTATTTAAATCTCAATGACTACTCAAATGAACAAATATACATATATGATCATAATTATATCTATAAATGAACATTATGAGTATCAAATATGATCATATACAATGATGTTTCAATGAAATGTACTTTTGTTTTTAAATCTCAATAAATACTCATATGAACAAATATAAATATATGATCATAACTATATCTATAAATGAACATTATGAGTATCAAATATGATCATATACAAATAACATATTAAACAAAGATAAAACCAATTTTATCAAATACAACTAGCATATTAGACATGAACATAATATATTCTGTAAATGACTAATTACCTTGGTAGTGGAGACATTGTTAAATCCGTACCAATTGACTTGTCAATATCTTTTAAAAGTTCCGGATCTACAATTGGATCATTTTGGCGGTTTTTTTTCAATTTGTCTACTCTTGACTGAAGAGGTACATCATCATCATCGTCTCTGTTTTATTTAATAAATTGTTAATGTTTTAGTTATTTTCAGTAAAATCTTAGAACAATTACTACAATCGCAAAAAATTTTAACAAAAATTAGGTTTTACAAAAGTTAGGGTTCATACATTTCTTCAGAAATTTTCAACAAATTACTCGTCTGTGAAGTATTTTTCTCCAAAATCATACTACAATTGCAAAAAATTGAACAAAAATTAGGTTTCACACATAAAATCGCACTATAATTGTCATCGCAAGAATATGAACAAAATTACTTACTCTTTGGTAACATTTTGCTCTGATTTTCCAGTTTTATCTTCCATGTTCTTCTCTAAAGCGTTTTTTTGCAAAATCACTCTACAATCACAAGGAAAAGAACCAAAATTATGCTTCATACAAAAATTGTACTAAAATCGTAATCAAATGAACAAAATTACTTACTCTTTATCAAAATGCTGCTGCGATTGTTTAATTTCATCTCGAATATCAGACATTTGAAGTAATTATGAAGTGTTTTGAAGCAATTTTGCAATAATTTGAAGAGAATTTCGTTCCGATTCGACGGTGTTGATGAGAGAGAAATTCTACAAAAATGAAGAAGATGGTTTTTAGAGAGAGAATAATTTGATATGGATAGTTTTTTTTTTTTACTGTGGTTAGTGGGGGTAGTTACTGTAGTTTGTGGGGGTAGGGGAAAAACGCAAAACGCTGCGTTTTGTAGGGGGTGTAGGTTATGGTACCTACACTAGGGTCTAGTGTATACTAATTACAGTAAAATATGGGTAAAGCCCAATAAGTTAATAAAAATAAATAAATTTGGGTCTAAAATTCAAAAACCCAAAACCCAATCAAAAACCTCTGTCAAAAAAACAAATCGTCGCTTTCATCGGCGACGGAGCAAGCGGAATAGTCGCCGGAAAACCCTAAACTTCGCGAATCTCCGATGAAAATGGCGGTTTTCCGATCACGAGCATGGATTTCAAGAGCCTTCGGTTCTCTCTCCACCAATCCTCTTTGAGTTTGTGTCGTCGGCAGCGGACCTGCCGGATTTTACACTGCTGAGAAGGTAATTACATTGCTGATTAATTTTCTTTCTAGGTTTTCTTAATTTCCTGAATTAATTGAAAGTTTCATTGGATTTGTCTGTTAATTTTGTGAATTTAGATGTTGAAAGCTAATGAGAAAGCTGAAGTTGATATAATGGATCGATTGCCAACTCCATTTGGATTAGTTCGTTCTGGTGTTGCTCCTGATCATCCTGAAACTAAGGTTTTATTTATTTATTTTACTTTTTTTTTAGATTATAATGTTGATGTTATAATGTGCCATTAATGTATTTTCTGATCATATAATGAAATTTTTGTAATATTTAATCAACATGTGGTATACTAATTATCATCACCTGGTTTTTGTTAGAACTTAATCATTTCTTTTTTTTTTTTTTTTTTTTTTGGTGAAGAGAACTTAATCATTTCTAATAGTACTGCTTTGATTCTCTGTGATATTTGTGTTTTAGTGTTGTTTTTTTTTTGTTACTTACTGAAACTTATTTTTTCTTAATATGAAACCAATGATATATTCCTTCCGTTGATTTTGTGTAATATGGGGGAAGGTGTAAGAAAAACGGCGGATAAAGTGAGAAAGAGAGTAGAAATTGGTGCATGTAAGAAAAAGGTGGATAAATTGTGCAGTATGGGGTATAAGTATAAGCTATAAGACGATAGAAAGTGTTGACCAACATTGGAAAAACGTAGAAGTTGGTAGAATAACACACTAATGGAAAGTGAGTAGAGCAAAAAAAACTGAATCAGTATTTTTTTTTTTTAAAGAATTTTATATGGATACAAGGTGTACATTTTGTAAAATGATTGCTTTCAATAGCTTATATTACCAGAAAAATTGCAACAGATTGTGATTAATCAGTTTAGCCGGGTTGCGAAAAACGACCGGTGCATGTTCTTTGGAAATGTAAATCTTGGGGCGTCTGTATCACTGAAAGAGCTTCAAGATTTATATCATGTGGTGAGCTTTGCTACAATTTGCTGTCTCGCAGAGAATTTCAGTTCATCCACTCCATTTTTTATTTTATAAAATGTCTGTATTTTGGTTTGGTTGGATAGGTCGTGCTTGCATATGGCGCTGAAAGTGATCGAGTTCTTGGTGTTCCTGGAGAGGTAGGTTTTGTATAGGGGGTGGTGTGGTGTTTTTGTATTCTTTCTAAATATCCTTTATATAATTATTGCGTGGTGTTTTATATAGGATTTAAAAGGAATTTACTCTGCTAGGGAGTTTGTTTGGTGGTACAATGGACATCCAGATTGCAGAAACTTGGCTCCTGACTTGGAGAGTACAGATACAGCTGTTATTCTTGGCCAGGTACATCTCTAAAGTTTGTGCTTTTTGTGGATCCTTTTAATATTTTGTTGATCATATAGTATACTGAAATAATCATGCAAACTCTTGTTGTTATGTATGAGCAAGATGATGTTGCAGATGCTCATTCTATAAATGCAATTGCATCATTTGACTGTTTCTTTGTCTATCATAAGAAGTCAAAAGCTTATGTAATCATGAACTAATTTGGAATTCACCAATAAGAGTTATTCCATTTTATACTGGGTAATGAGGGCCCTAAAGTTTGGATGTATCTTTCTAAAAACTTATCTTGGAAGTATCACATACCTTGTAAAAAAGAGGATAGATGACCTGAAAATCATAGAATTAGCAGGTTATATTGCTGCATTAGTTTGGTGAGCTTGTTAGACAGATGTCTCTAGATGATTAAGTTTTTCTTATCTTTGAGTTGGTGAACTTTTTGGACAGAATTTCTAAGGCTAAGTGAGTTTTATATTTGCTAACTGGATAGCAGTAAACTAGTACGTAGAAGTGTTATGGTTTACAATTATACAGGCGTAACATTACTAAAGTTTTTGAAGTTTAGGTTGCTCATCTAAATGCATATGCTTAAAACATCATCTATTAGAATGTTTTAATTCAAATAAACCAAAATATCATTTTCTATCTGCCGAAGCTGTGTTCTGACGACCTCGGCTTGTTATCTATTTCTTGCACTTGACCCTTGCGTTGCATTGAATCTGTTTTGATCCTCTTGAGAGGGGATTCTGCAAGAGGTTGAAACTTGAAAGGATATAGTACACGACTACATGTCTCTTAATCTCATTTCCTTGTTGATTATTTCCGCTGCTGTTTTTGAATCAGAGAGATTGTATGTTTGTGGGTGGTTGAAGAGGGGACCAACAGGAATCGTTGCCACAAACCTTTATTGTGCTGAGGAAACTATGAGTGTTGTTACCCTGTTTCTATAGTTCCTTAAACACTTCTTGCTATCTGGTACAGAGTAATTATTATCATTGTCCCAATCCCTTACATTTAAAAAGCTGTTATATAAATTTTTTTTAAGGGAATGCCACAGTATTATTGACACACATTTTGTAGAAGGTGGACAATTTAATATAAACCATACTAACGTTCCAAAATAGTTCCTTGATTACTTCTGGCTTCCTGCTGTCTGGATAAATTTTTAACTGCCCCAATCTCTTATAACTAGAATGCCATTGTTTTGTTAAAAGACAATTTGTTATAGGTAGATTTTTTTCCACCTTGCTTATCACTCAACTTAAGCAGGGCCGCAGGGGGCATCTTTGGAGGCCCAATCATAAAATCCTTCCACTTTTGGACATCCCAAAATATTATATATGACTTGACCAACATTTTTGGAAGGAGGGAGTATTGAGTATATAACTTGATCTCTTGATGCATTATCATTGCTGAAGCTGTGTGGGTTTAATTACATATCTGATTAATATCCATATATGGCAGGTTGCCAGCATAATGGAGGACCTTGCCCAGGGACCATTAGCATCAATTTCAAGCATGCCAAAACCGGGTAGGGAGGGGCTTCTTGAGTTGTTAGATGATCGCAAAGTCACAGTACTTCCATTCAGTGCCTGGGAAAAGATAGACTCCGAAGAAAAGCAGCAGGGAAGTTTAAAGCACAAACCCCGAGAAAAATTATCCTCTTGGCAGGAGTTACTGAAAGTTGGATCAGAATGAATATATTTCCATCTCACAAATTACCTATTTCCCAGAGGAAGGGAAAATTCGGGGTTTTTTTTCCTCTTTAAGTTATATACGATTCCATTTAGACTGTTGTATAGAAATACAATTTTGACTTAGTTTGCACTCCACACTGACCTGTTATCTTAAAATTTTGAAGTGTGGTTCACAGCAGCTTGTAGAATTTTCTGTCCCTCTATTGTACACCAGAGTTGGTTATCACATATCAATTCGTAATGCTTAACCGTTGATATTACAGAGAATAAATGGTATTTGATCTAGGATCCAATACACAATTGTTTGTTTGGCAATACAACAGTCTATTTTTTATTTTTTTTTATTTTATTGTTGCTATTTTAAAATTGCCATACTTGCTTAAGATATATACAAGTACACACTATATCCATTTCATGCTGTATTTGACTGAAGTTATCTGAGATTTTTGAACCAAAATTACCTACAGGAGTAATCTGATTTTATGCACCTGAATTTACCTATGTAGACATGTTTGTAAGTGTACAGGTTCAGCAACTGATCAATAATTTCCCGGACACACCATCAAATATGGTATTTGTACCAAAGAGATGCATGAAGCACATATGTTTTTTTTAATGCAATGTTTATTTGCAGGCATTCGATAATGCAATGTTGGTGCCATTGAAGGACGTTTAGTAATGAGAGCTTGGTGATTCTTGCCTATGGGCGTACTCTTCTGGTGGGGGGTCATCTATGGAACATGGTATGTTTTCCTTTCCTTTCTAACTTTTCCAAAGGGACCACAGCTTGAATGAGGTTGATTATGCACTCTCTTCCATTGAAATGACTGATTTCACTATTTTATGACATGCTTTGCCCCCCACAACTCCACCCCCCCCACCACCCCACCCCACCCCCCCCCCCCCAAAAAAAAAAAAAAAAAAAAAAGAAGCAATACCTTGATTGAGCAGCATAATACTCTCGATTCTGAATGTATTTGCGATTACAGTATCAGTTCATAACTTCATATACTGCTATTTGTCACATTATTAGCTTGACAATATCCATCTAGAATTCCAGGTAGTAATTTCAGACTTCAGAGTGATACCTGATGATGAGTTTGTAATGAGAAATGACTCCTTGATGTCTATCAGTCTATTTAGCTAACCTCTAGTACTAGATGGTGGAAATAACTATCAGTTGTGGAAACAAAGGTTGACAAAATAATGTGCCAATAGTTGAACAAATTTTAGACACAAGAAACTGAGTGCTGGGATATATGAGGATTTGTGCTAGGCCCTAGGCTTTATGATAATCCCAAGGGTGATGCTGAAGAAAATAGGTTTAATGCATTAGAGGAAAAGAACAAAGGAGTTTTTTTTTTTTACCGTCTTTGAACCGTAAGAGTTGATTCTACATTTCTACGTAGTATGCCTTCTGCTTGTACCTTTTCTAGACTGGAATGACCCTATATTTTGTCAAGGTAGCAATACACATGTTATGTATATTGGATGTGTGATTCGTGATTGTGACAACTTAAACCCTTTCTTTTGCCTTTTGTTTTGTTTGTTTGGGTGGGTGGGGGAAGCTGTGATTTGGACCCAGATTTTGGGTCATTTTGTGAATTGAATTTTGATTGTAAAATACTAATGTATTGTTGTCTCACCTTCTGACGGTTCTGCCTTCCTTGTGATGTAGTGTACTCTTAAGTAGTAGTAGTAAAATCAATGGAAGTCTTTAATATAAGACTTTTAATGGTTTGGCCATGTCATCACAGATAATCCTTTCTACATCTTTTTCCCCACCTTTTCAAAGAGTGAAAGGAAACTTTAAGCTGATAACATCCTGACTCTTGTAGTCTTGTGTTTGGTAAAATCTTTTCTGTGAATTTATAAGTCGTTTCTTTCTTTCCTCTGAAGTTGTAGCTCCCTTTTTGGCTGAAGTGACTCGACAAGTAGAAGTCCAATTACCATCTCAAGTTTTAAAAGCAAAAGTGAATGGTAATAGTTAAACTCCACCTTCTTTTTGAGAAGCACTTCCAATTTATTGAGCTTCAATCTGCGGAGGAATAAGCACAGGGATCTTCCACTATATGTCTTGACTTCTGCTTGATTTTATAGGCTTGCTGTACTTGTTAAACTCAATCAGTTCTTTGTGTTGTATCTAACACAACACTTTCTGCGCTTGAAGAATTCCTTTGTAACCCGTTGGTCTTTCACTAGGAATGTTCAACAGGCTATCTATATCCTGAAAAAGCTCTTTTTAGTTAACTTGCGAGTTGACTTTGAGTTCCCTAAGCTGCTAAGACCTGGGATTAAGCTCCAAGAGAGAATTTCATTGTTTGCATGGTCTTCTGGGGTCATTGAATTGTGTCTGAATGTTCTCGTTATTAATTGCTTACATGTTCATCGATAAATATCTTGCTGATGTCCATGCTAGATATATGAACCTTGTCCGTAACAGGGCGAAAGCGCTTGGCAAAGGAGCCTCGAAAGATTTTAGTCTTACAAAATTGTAAATATCTGTAATCTGAAATTTGGATAATTGTATTATCTAATTTTGGATAAATACTTTGGTATAGTTGACTTAGTTGTGTGGTTAATCTAAGACTCTAGTTATCTGATGAAGCTGCTTTGTTAATTTGTGTATCTGACAGTTTATGCTTGGTCATATGTATTAAAACCATAATATTCTAATCATGAACCTCGGAATTCACCTAAAAATTTAGTTCTGCACTTGGAAATTTTAGATCAAAGATAATTTTTCGTTAACTTTGGGCTGCCGTCTTCATGTAAAACCTGCGATGCACTTCTTTTCATTCCTGAAACCTAGCTAGTTGATGGTGATGAGTTTCACTAATATATAATATATGTCATTCATGACTGTCATGCTTCCACTTTTTATTTTTCTTCTTAAAATGTCTATTTCCATTATTCTATTGCGTTCATTGCTATTCTAAGTCCTACAATTACTACTAACTTAGTACTAAGGATCCCACTGTAAGTGGGATCATTGCTACTGCTAGTTGCTAACTCTGCCCCCTCACATACCTATTGTTGTTCGTCTTATTGACAATGATGAGCAGAGAAGTTTTTTACCATGTGATTTGAAACGTGAACGTTTATGTGCTAAATGTAGCGTACTCGTTAGCATGCTGGTAAATCTTCAGTCCTCACAACTACATTAACCCAATCCCTCTAAATACACACTTTGGGCAGGGTTAGAGAGCAGGATGCACACATCTTTAGCTTTGCAGTAACAGAAAATATTTCCAATCAAGTTTTTTATTATTTATCTGTTGCACAACTGTTTTTCTACTTCACAATGAATAAGTACTATTATTTAGTCCGTTCTTGATGAATCTTTCACTGAGTTAGGTATGTACATGCTTCTGTCATTTCGTGCAGGTTATATCAGTTGCCGACCATTCCCTAGCCATCATTTCAGGTGAGAAATACTTGGGTTGCTTCCTGACTGGCGCTCTTACAAGTTACTGTGACAGTATAAGGTTAGATTCAATCTCTTTTTTGCCTTCAATTATTAAAGCTCTTTGGAGGACCCAATAAAAGGTAGGAAGAAGTACGGATGAGTTTTTATTTGGCAAATCTATCATCACACATTCACATGTATGAAACTATGATAAGCTAATAGAGGCATAAATTCTTGTCTATCATCTGCGTGCATAGTAATGTGGGGAAATAAACTTCAATTATTGTGCATTACTAAACTACCAGTGTATTTTGTACTGCTCTTAACTGATGTTGATATGTCAACACATTATTACTCTTTTTCTTCTCATGGGACATTGCTATAATAATGGCTTTACTACGAGCTTTTGTATCCATATGTGCTCATTTTACCGTGTCAACTTAGATGCATGCTTATGTCGATTTGAGTATTACTTCGTAGATTTTATTAGCTAATCCGATAACTTCCTGTAAACACACATGCTATTTAGAGAGATTTACTTTAATTTGGATGATTTTTTATGATTGTTCTTTTGAATTATGATGATGTTGGGTCACCTTCTTTATTCTTAAGCTGGGAGGCATCTAGGATTAGGAACAGTTCGAAATTTGAAGGGAGGATTTTTTTTTTTTTTTTTCCCTTTTTTTTAAAAAAAAATCTTGGTGTAGGTGTGTGGTGGGGCTCATGACTTGATGGTGGACGTGACTTCAGTTACTAAATTCGGTTAAAAAACAGTAGATTAGTTGATTCAATTCGTATGAAGCATACATATGTCTTTACATTTTAACTATTTTAGTTAATTGAACATAAATGAATGACATAAAGTTAGATTACTAACTGTTAGATAACTAACATTTACATGTACCGGGGTTTTTTATGCAACAAAATAAATTATTAATAGGGCAATGATGTTACTTAAGCGACTTGATTGGTATAATGACCCCCCTTTGTGTTAAATCCATCCTCCTTTTACAAAGAATCGAGAGTGGTGTGTAAAGATTATTCAAGTTGTCCCCATTTCTACAGAAATTGTTCTTTGTTGTTATCCACGACACTCACGCCATTTGCTTAGGCCTTTCTTTTCTAATAGGTATTTTTCATTATTTCTTGTCCTATAATTAAAATATTCCAATTTACCCAATCTTGTTTGTAACTTGGCTTTTTTGAAGGCATCTTCACTTCTTTAGCGTTGCCCTGCTTAGCTCTCTCTCTATACCCATGTTGCTTGTCCATAACATTTTAATTACATTTCCTTACTTGTTCAAACATTGTCGCCCTAATCTGTGATATATGCTTGTTCGTATCTAGCTTTTAACCTCAATTGTTTATTAGGATGTATGGATAATTATAAGTAGTAGTTGAATGTTACTTATTGGTAGGGGGCATTTTATTTGATCAATTTTGTAACGTGACTTGTAGCTTGTTATACCCATTAAACGTTACATGCTTATTTGTAATGAGGCATAGTTCGGGGCTTCGGGCTAATGCATGGCAACCCCCCTTGATTTTTATTATTAGACTTACCTTCCCTCGACAATTAAGTTTGGCTTTGGCTTCGTCCCTGCTTGATGTCTTCATTGTGGAACCTTCCTAGATGAATGCCAATGGATTTTACCATTGTCAAATGTCAATATATAGGTAATTGCCTAGGTATACAAGCAAATGCTTGCATGCAAATGAATTTACCATTGATCAAGGACAATTCTAGCACGATCCTTACATTTGCTATAGATGGAAAATGTGGAACCTCAAGATAGAATAAAAGACCAAGATAAGTAGTGGAACAATTTATCATCAATCACTTTAAAATGATTAGTATAGAATCAAGAGAAAGTGGTGTTCTCATCACAACTTTGGAGATAAGAATTTTTTCAAGGTGATTACTTGAGCAATGTTATCAACTTCTTGTCAATAACATGTATGCTTATTGTTGAATATGATGTAGTGAGGTTTCATAAACAAAATCACTTCGTCTAACATTTTTTTTTTGTTACATATGAACTTATCTTCATAGTGTATCGAACAACAAATCTTTAAATATTTAATTATCTCTCACTACTAGTTTACTACTCGTATTTTCTTAATCTTTGTGTCTTTTCTACTTCGAGTAATTCTTCTCCGTCTAATTGCTCTTAATATTAATACTCTAGCTTTTTTCTTTTCCTCAAACGTTTTCTTCATGAGCTGCCAAAGAAAGAGGATAGCATCCAAACCATTGACCGACGAATGACAATCGATACATCTTGAATGATACTGTTGTCAAACTACACCCTTTGCTACCACCTAGTTACCTGACTTGGCTATTGATTTTCATAGTAACATGACGTACAATTGTACAAAGCATAATAGAAACCAAAAACAGATCAAATTATGCAATTCTTGTATCACGAGTGGTTGAGATCATGTGACAACTATTAAAGGATTGTTGTATCACAAGTGTGATTAAC